TGAACTGCCCGTACTTGCCCTTGCTCTTGTCGGCTGGCTTCAGGATCTGGGGGGCAAGGGGGAGAAACGGGTCAGGGGGGGAAGAAACAGGTCAGAAAGGGGTGAAGGGGGAGAGAAATGCATGAGGGGAGGGAGAGAAATGGGCGAGGAAGGGGCTTCACACCATCCCGCCCCAGCTCCCCACTCCCCTCCTGCCTCCAGGGCAGAACACCTCGGTGCCCTCCGCTCTCCCTCCAGCCCCTCCAGCAGGAATTGGGGGTGTCCTGCCCCTGGCCCAGCCCACCTGAAAGGAGCACATGAGGGTCTCATCCACGCTCATCATGGCGCCCGCGTTGTCGAACTCGCCACAGTAGTTGGGGGCCGAGAACAGGGTGACGAGCTGGCGCTTGGCAAAGAACTCGTAGCCATCCTCCACCACCTGCACGAGAGGGGCACACAGTGAGCACCCCTGGGGCAGATAACCACCCCCCTGGGCAAATAACCACCCCCCCAGGCAAATAAACCAACCCCCCGGGACCACTGTGCAACTTCAGGGGCAAATACCCACCCCCTCTGTGGCAAATATTCCCCTCCTGAATATCCACTCCCCTGAGGTCAATACCCGCCCACTCAGGGCAAATTCCCACTTCCCTGGAGTAAAATATCCACCCCCAGGGCCAGATATCCAGACTCCCCCTGGGGCAAATTTTGACCCTCACGGGGCAAATGCTCACCCCCCCAGGGTCAATGTCAGGCAAATCCTCCCCCCTGGGGCCAATATCCACCTCCAGGCAAATGCCCAAATCCTGGGGTAAAATCTCACCCCTCTAGGATGAATACCCAAATCCCAGGGCAAATCCCCCCTGAAATCCTGCCTACACACTCACAACAACCCCCCAGAGTCAAACACCTCCTCTGGGGCGGGCGAACGCCCCCTCAGGACCCACCCCTGGAGCACACACCGCCCTTGGGGGGCAAATCCTTGGGGTACACACGCCTGCCCTACACCCGACACCCACTGGGCACCCAAAGCCCCACTCCAGGGGCCCTCCCCAATATTTTGGGGGTCCCGGAGGTACCTGGTGTGCCCGGCAGATGAGATCCAGGTCGTGCTTGTGCAGGAACTTGGCCACCACCTCAGCCCCGAAGGTGAAGGAGACGCCGCGGTCGTTCTCCCCCCAGCCCTGCACGTCCTTGTCGGGGTCGGACCAGAGCAGGTCGCAGAGCAGCCCCTGATCCGGGACATCCGTGGGCAGCCCTGCGGGGAAGGGGAGCCCCCAGAGCTCAGCACGGAGATCCCGCCCCTCCACAGCCCCTCCCCAGACCCCTGGGAAAGGGGTTTTTTTCCCACCTCCGTGGCAGCAGAAGATCTTCTCGTCCACGATGGCAGCGATGGGCAAACAGTTGAAGCAGTCGGTGAAGGTCTTCCAGAGCTTGATGTTGTATCGCCGCTTGCCTGGGGGGGACAGTGAGGATTTGGGGGTGTCCTTGGGGGACAACAGGGACTTAAGGGTGTGTGGGGCTCCCAACAGGGGTTTTAGCCCCCCAGGTGATGCACAGGCAGCTGCCCTGAGGTCCATCAGACCTGGCAAAGCTCTGGCTGCACAGGGACAATGGGGATGTGGGGGTGTCCTTGGGGGACAA